AGATTCCGAGATATTCATCAAAAACTGGGCAATAGTCAAAATCGACTTAACCCGGTTTACCGCTTCGCTACTGAACTGATCCTTGTGACCCTCGTGAAGCCAGAAAATGCCTCAAACTTCGCTCTCATCATCTTTGAATAAATGGACGACTAAAAAATTGAAAGAATTAATCAACAGCTGAAGTGTTTGAGAACAAGATTTCCAAATAGTCGATATAAACCAACGGTATAATCAATTTTCATGTTTATCGTCAAGGATATAGTTCCATTCGGGCCATTAATATTTTTCATGTTATTTTGAAATCATTTGATAGGAGTTTAAAAAGTTTTTCAAATATTTTTTGTAGAATACTGATGGATTAAATTGGGAAATTATTTTGATTCTGAATGTCATCAATCCAGATAATGAGATTCCTCAGGAAATGATATGACCTTTCGGTTTGATTGGGTAGTTTTAATGAAGATAATTAGATTCTTCGTGCGACTTCAGATTCACTTTTCTTTTTCATTTAAAATATTTTTCGTATTAGTTTGAAATCTTCACAGGAGTTGAAATTTTTTTTCCAGCACTTTTAAATAATGGATAAATTGACAAATTATTTTGTTTCTGAATGTCATCAATCCAGATAATGAGATTCCTCCTAAATCAATACAACCTTTCGTTTTAATTGAGCAATTTTAATCAAGATAATTCGCTTCTTCGTGCGACTTCACATTCATTTTTCCTTTTTGGTGTAACTATGTTTTGAAGAAGGTGTTTAAATGGAAGGAATTATCTTTTTGTCGACCAAATAGTCATTTCTAAATTGCGTATTTTTAACATTATTTTTTAACATTTCAGTAGCGAAGTGGTCAAACGGTTCAAGTTGATTTTTACTATTCGCCAGTTTTCAATGAATATCTCGAAATCTAAGGGAGACAGCAAACATTTTCTCATAACCTTTTTCACAGCGCGTACTTCGCTCTACAAAAAAGGTTATTATGATAATTTCGCTATCTCCCTTCAATTCGGAAATATTTCTGGAAAACTCAACTGAAGACCTTTCGTTTCGATTGAACACTTTTAATGAAGATAATTCGCTTCTTCGTGTGACTTCACATTAATTTTTTCATTTCGTTACAACTATATTTTGAAGAAGTCCTTTAAATGAAAAGAATAACCTTTCTGTTGACCAACTGGCTCCTCTAAATCGCGTGTGATCGTAATGACGCCGAGTGACTTTGCGGAGGACAGAGAGATATGATAAGCCATCCAGTGATATCCCGAGCGACGTAGGGATTAATTGACAGATTACTGTCGTGGAGTGTCTCCACTTGCATCCGATATTTTAAAATATTTTTAATATTATTTCGAAACCATTTGACTGGACTTAAAAATTTATCTTCGAATACTTCTAAATAATGAATAAATTGACAAATTGTTTTGATTCTGAATATCATCAATCCACGGATTGATGCAGATAATGAGATTCCTCAGGAAATAATATGACCTTTCGTTTCGATTGAACACTTTTAATGAAGATAATTCGCTTCTTCGTGTGACTTCCCATTAATTTTTTCATTTCGTTATAACTATATTTTGAAGAAGTCCTTTAAATGAAAAGAATAACCTTTCTGTTGGCCAACTGGCTTCGGTAAATCGCGTGTGATGGTAATGACGCCGAGTGACTTTGCGGAGGACAGAGAGATATGATAAGCCATCCAGTGATATCCCGAGGGACGTAGGGATTAATTGACACATTGGTGTCTTGGAGAGTCTGCACTTGGAGCCACCTCTCTCCCAACTTGACTGATGAGCCCACCGTCAACAGTGGGTGTCAGAGAATCGCTATTCCCCCCCCGAAAGCCCAGCTTTTTTGCTCATCCCAACGACATCAGCAACAGAGGTAAAAGATTAAACGTCAAGTATCTCCAAGAATTGTCCGAATTTGTCAGCTCTCCAATGATATTCCAACGTTCCCAGCCACCGAGGGACCGATTGACGTATCATCCCCTATTTCAGCTATATCCTAGCGCGTCACCCGAAACATACACCTTGGACGTGGCAGCGCGACACCGCTGTAACAGATTAGAATTTAATGCGCGCTGAGGGGAGCTACGTTAGTTAACGTTTTCCAGGGGCTAAAAGCCCGAATACCCTGGGCTGACGGTGCAAGCGAGACGGGAGATGATCGAGTCCTCATGACGTTATTACTTGTTAGAAAGTGATCAAGCCACCTACACGAAGGATGACGCTGTCTGGGGCTCTCTCAGCGAGAAGACATGTCAAGCAGAAAGTTTTCAGGCATTATAAGACGAGGACTGGTTATTAAATTTCCACGGATAATTGAAATTTGTTTTCAGAGCAAATTGTCACTGGCATGATTGATGGTCTCGTGTCTAAAATTCTCGGTGAAATAAAATTACCCAACAGTACCGATAAAAGTTGGTGGGG